ATTTAAATTGCTTTGACAATTTGAGTACCAAACACAGTGTCTGCCTAGGAAAATGTTTGAATAAATGAATAATTTGTATAAAGTTTATGAAATACCTTTAATTGTTAGAGCTTATTTAGCCCTGCAGCTTGAATAATTTCTATTTTAAATCAGTCCTACATAGAAGAATTAGGATGTTTTTCTTCCCCCTCATTCCATGCTGCTTGTACATTATAGTGTAAAAAAAAATCAAACTATGTCATTCATAAATCCTTAAATTTAGAAAATGCAAGGAATATGCCTGGTGGTGAGGTGGGTTAAACATCGGTTGCTGCAAGGTCCGCAGTTCGAGGCTCCTCCAGCCCCACTCGGGAGAAAATGAGGCTGTCTGCTCCCATAGAGAGGGGAAGCTCCAAACATGCCGGGTGTATGGGAATCGACCACGTGCCCGTGGGATAAGTGGTTATGCTGATTTGTTTTACAGCTCATCGCCTGGCAGAGAATGAACGACCGGCCAAGTGTAGATCAAGTAGCTGTTTTAGTATAATACCATTTTTGGAAAATGCTGTTCACTTTCAAATGCAGTGAAGAATAATGTGCAGAGACTGGCATCTAAGTATCTAGCGAGCTGAGTGGTTCCTGTGTTGTTTGGGGGTACCTTGAGATTTCCCTGCAGCTTACAGAAACAGTTCCTGCCCGGGCCTTTCCTCGTGGTAGCAGCTTACAGACATGCAGTGCTGCATGGCCCCCTTGGAGTGTCTGTGTGCACCCCCCACCCCATCCCCACACAAACACCGAGGGAGAAAGACGTGGGAATTGGCCCCGTAAGCTGCCTGAAAGCCCACGGGAGCAGCTCTCCTCCCCCGTGGAGTCTGGATGGCATGGGCTTTGCGTGTGCCTTCAGGTCTGTGATGTCATCCTGTGTGTACACCGCGTGCACCGCCAGAGGCATCCTACCTCAGTTCAGGTCTGTGATGTCATCCTGTATGTACACCGTGTGCACCGCCAGAGGCATCCTACCTCAGTTCAGGTCTGTGATGTCATCCTGTGTGTACACCGTGTGCACCGCCAGAGGCATCCTACCTCAGTTCAGGTCTGTGATGTCATCCTGTGTGTTCACCGAGTGCACCGCCAGAGGCATCCTACCTCAGGGGCATCCCGTGTGACCCTTGTATGAGGGGTGGGAAAGTGGGACTCAAAGATGACAGGCTTTCCCACACACTGATGGAAGCCCCCTCGTGCACCCTCAGCCCCCCCGCCCCCTGTGCCCCTGGGAACCCGGCACAAGGTAGCCTTTTGGACTTGACTCCCAGAAACCCCTGGAGATCGGCCGGGAGCTTTCACGAGTGCTTTGCCACGAGGACTGGTCTCCTTTCCATCGGCCATGAGCTGCTGCCGGCCTTCTCAGAGCAACGAGCACCCACTGGTCTCTTCTGGGAGGCAGGCTTTGGTCCGAGTCGCCCCATTCTCACCCACACCAGCTTCCTCCTCCCTTCACCCCTTCCCTGTTCTCCCACCCTCGCCATTGCTGGCTGGGTTAGGTCCAGGTGAGCATTCTCCCCATTTGCAGAACCCAACACAAAGGAACGGTGGGCTGAGTGAAGCCTTTTGTAAACTCGCCCTCTGTGTTCCCCCCACTGCCTTGATGGGCCCCCTCACTCAGCAGCCTGCCTCAAAGTGAAGGAGAAAACGTGGAATTCATCTGGGCTATCTCAGACCCCAGACCTTGGCATGGTGGCAGGATGGGAGCCCAGCGCAGCCAGCGGCTCAGAGAGCGACTGAGGCCTTCACACCGAGCTGCAACGTGGGTGTTGCTTTAACCCATTGCCAGTGTCAGGGCCCTGCGCGCTCTGCAAGCCGGTTCTTTCCTTTAAGGGATTGGATCGCGTGCCAGCTAGGCTTCTGAGAAGGAAGGAGCTCTTTCTTTCATCTGATGTTCAAATAGTGACGCCATAGCTTCCTTCCCAGGAGGGGCTGGTGGGTTTGAACCACCCGCCCTGCAGGCAGTTAATAGCACCACCAGGGTTTGCTAAGGTGGAGCTCACTTAGCATTTTCAGGAGAAAGAGGCTCCTGCCAAGATGGGCAGCCCTGGAAACCCTCGGGAGCTCTTCTACGCTGCCTGGGGGCGGTGGGTCTGAGTGGGAGCCGACCCATTGGCAGTGGGTCGGAGGGTTTGTTTGTTCGTTTGGTCCTATGATTCAATCGCTCCTGCAAACTACGCTTTGTTCTCAAATGCCGTGAGTAGAGTGTCTGCTTCCCATTAGTTCCTGATAGCAGCGTGCTGGTTTTTTTTCTTTTAATCATTTTATTAGGGGCTCATACAACTCTTATCACAATCCATACATACATCACTTGTGTAAAGTGCATTTGTACAGTCATTGCCCTCATCATTCTCAAAACATTTCCTCTCCACTTAAACCCCCCGCATTAGGTCCTCATTTTCCCCCTCCCTCCCCGCTCCTCCTAACTCATGAGCCCTTGATAGTTTATAAATTGTTATTTTGTCATATCTTGCCCTGTCCAACGTCTCCTGTCATCCACTTTTCTGTTGTCCGTCCCCCAGGGAGGAGGTCACATATAATCCTTGTAATCGGTTCCCTCTTTCCAACACACTCTCCCTCTACCCTCCCAGTATCACCACTCACACCACTGGTCCTGAAGGGATCATCCACCCTGGATTCCCTGTGCTTCCAGTTCCTATCTTTACCAGTGTACATCCTCTGGTCCAGCCAGACTTGCAAGGTAGAATTCGAGTCATGGTAGTGGGAGCAGAGAGGAAACATTTAGGAACTAGAGGAAAGTTGTATTTTTCATCTTTGTTACATCACACCTTGACTGGCTCGTCTCCTCCGCGAGACCCCTCTGCAAGGGGGTCTCCAGTGGCCTACAAGCAGCATGCTTTCATCACACACCCTACGATATTAAGACTTTGGAAAGGTACAGGAGCGGCTCTCATTGATCACTGGGGCTCCAGCAAGCCCCTGGCAGGAATGCACAGCTTTCGTGAACGTCGTGAAGCCCCCTCAGCTGTCCGGAGGCTCCTCACCCAGGATCACGGGGCTTTGTTTTGTTTTTCCTTGTACCCTTTTAAAAACACCTATGCTAACCTCAAGGTCAGCTGTTTGAACCCACTAGCCACTCCGTGGAGAAGATGAGGCTTTCTACTCCCATAAAGAGTGACCGTCTCAGAAACCCACGGGGGCAATTCTACTCCATCCCATAGGGTCGCTATGCATCAGCATCGACTCACAGACAGTGGGATTGAGGCTGCCAGCAGAATGCCAGTTCCCAGGGGCCCCGCCTGTGCGTGGCGGGCAGAGCGAGGCTGGCTGTGGTTGCCAGGGGCCAGCGAGTTGGATCCCACAGAGGGAACCTTGCTGTGTCCTGCGCCTGTCGTCCCCAGCACTCTCCCATTGTGAGCAGGGGTAGCTCCAGGGACCTGGTCTTTCCGATCAGGGAAAGGGAACCGAAGAAGTGCGGTGGGGAACCTGGGACCTGGCCCAGTTGGAGCTGGAACAATGGCCTTCTCTTTTCTTCACCTATAAAACACCTCGGGAGGGTAGGTTGCCTCTTCCTGGCTCCGCTCAGGACCAGCCCCTAAGGTCTTACCCTCTCTCCTCACCGCTGCCCCGAAGTCTGGACACCCACGTGTAGGGCTTGGCGAGTGAGCGCCAGGCGGTGACCCTGATGGCATTCCTAGAGTAATAGAAAGGGTGTCACCCACCACTGCCAGCGAGCCCATTCCCACTCAGGATCATCAGTGGGGATCTTTCAGCAGCAGACGGCCTCCTCTCTGATCAAGGTGAGAGAGTGAGCACTGTGGGGAGAGAATGTGTCAGGAAGAACCAGTGGGCCTGC